GCATCAGCAACAGGGGGGGGCTGAAGAGAGGGGGGAGGCCGGGCGGCCCATATGACTGCTGGCTGTGGTGGCTGCGGATGCTGTGAGCCAGAGAGTGCTGGCTACGCTGGCTGTGCTGGCTGGCCGGCACCGAGCGCTCGCTGGCCGCGCGCTCACGCCGCATGCTGCTCCTCGTGGTGTGGTCCGACTCGCTCCCACTGCCGCCTGACTTGGACTCCCCGGTCTTCTCTCTTTCCTTCCTCCTCTCGCTGCCGCTGCGATTGGAACCGCTGCTCCGGCTCCCTGCGAAGCGCACAAGGCAAGGTTAGGTGACAGCTCAGAGAAGAAGGATGCTCCTCTAGGCAAGAGAGGACTACACCACAGTGCAGCACACCCATCTGCTAGCACGGTCCATGCTCTCAATCTCCTTTCAACTCTGAGTCCTGCAACCCTTCTGAGAAGGCTTTTGCCCTGCCTTCTCCCACACACAGGGCCTTGCTTAAGCAGCCTTTTCCTGCTGTTTCCCTGTACTGAACAGAGCATCTGCCCACTTGCAGGCATATTTCAGTCCTTTTCACTCACCTTCACTGTGCTGGCTGCCTGCACTGCCCCCTCCGTAGCTGTAGCTTGGGTCAGGGAAGCCGGGGTGGGGGTTGTATGGATGAGGCGGTGGATACTGATAGGGGAAAGCCATAGGCCAGGGTGCGGCTCCTGGGTGGGGGAGCGGAGCCAAAGTGTCCTGATCGGAGGCACCGCTGGAGCCATCGTGATCGTGAAGAGACAGATTAGCCATGTCTGCAAGAAAGCAGAGAAGAGCAGTTAATCCAAGCGGAAAGACAACCACATGTGATGAAGAAGCTCCCTGTCCACAGACAAGGATGGGGTACACAAGGAGACAAAAGAAGTTGTCTCTCTCCCTGCTAGTCAATGCAATCGTTTGTGCTTTCTGACTGGACAACAGCCAGGGTGCGCAAGTCTGAGCTGCCACAGAAACCAGCTTGGTGGGAAAGGACCTCATCAGAGCTACAGCTCACCCTGCCAATTACTTCCCTCAGCTCTCTTATCTGAGCAGAAGCCAGTTGTCTAAGCACCACCCCCTTGCCAGTACTGGTAGTTCACAGCCGGGAGACAGTCAGTAAAGACTAAGACTCCGCTATGGCTGCCTACGAGAAAAGATCACATAGCAGGTGACACTGTCAACACTGCTTCCATCTTCACCACCACAACAGCATGACAGGGTCTGTAGAACAAGGGGCCCAGCCTGATGGCAATGGCTGTAGCTATGTCCCCGCAGCATCAGCAGGGCTCTGCAGGTCCTCTACCCCTCCATCCTCTCCCTCCCACCCATGCCCAGTGCCATACTTCCACAGAGGTCCCCGAAGATGTAATAGCACTGCTCCGAGAAGGTGATCTTGTTCACGGTATGTCGGATGTAGCCGGCCTTCAGCAGATTGCTGGCATATTTGCGGGATTCACGACGGTCTGTAAAGCCTTCCACATGGTGATAGAGCCAATCCACTACATCCGAACCTGCCACCAAACATCAGAGTTAAATACAGCAAGAGAGAGGAAGACAGTGGCCCTTGAAGCAGCAGGCCACACTGGAGCCAAGACAAAGTGGGCCAAAAGGTGAAAAGGGACTGCACAACCAAAGGTTCAATTTGCAACTCTGGCCTGGTCAACAGTTAGTTACAGTGACAGAGATGGTCCCTGGGCCATCTGCTTGGAAAACAGGCCACCCATTCCCCAGTCCCTGCCTCTGCTGCAGGCAGCACAGTCTCTTACCTATGAAGGCATTGGGGATGGTGATCTTCAGCCACATGCGGTCACGCACCTCCAGGCCTGACTCTGGTGAGGCCATGGCTTTGACAATGGTGGCCATGTCGCTGTGGATGGACAGGTGAAAGTCATCGAGGCCTGTGGTGTGGAAGAAGAAAAGGAGGCAGAGATAAGAAAGGACAGAAAAGACAACAGGGCCACATGGAAGCATCACACACAGGAGGAATGGGCCAGGGAACAATACACTGCAGACAGCCTTGGGGTGCATGCTGTGTAACCCCCCCATTCAGCCTTACGATGTTATCTTTCACATGTCAGCCATTCCTCTTGTGCAAAACGCAGGCTACAGTCTCTTTCCTTCCAGCCAGTCCCAAGCAGCTGAGACCCAAAGCTGCCAACTGAGCCCACACAGCCCAGCAAGAGAATTCTCTGCTCCTCACAAACTTACAGCAAACTCAGGGCTTTTTGTTTGGTCTGAGCTCTCCAGACCCTTGCTTCAGGGCTCTGTATACTAGTGTCGCCCAAAACCTTCAAAAAGCAACAAAGAGAGCCCTGTGCTCAGCAGGACCCTGCCCCACTGCAAGGTGCTCTGCTCCCAGCTGCCTGCTCCGTCCTGCTCTATCTGCCCTCTGGAAGGGCAATTGCTCCAGGGACAAGCTGAATCCCTCTGGCCTCACACTCTCAGCTGCTCACTCTTGACTGCTCTGAGCCTTTCCTCTGCGCATCTGCCACAGTTCCTGGATTGCACCCAGGCTCTTCTACTCTCCTTACTTAGAAGGCTGAAGAATGTGGTATTAATTCACCCAGGCAGAACTCCCGTTGATCCATGTGCCTGCCCGCTGAGAGCTGCCTCCCTCCTAGTCCCTTGGCAGGGCAGATCTTGCCCATCCCAGCTGTCCCCAAGCAGATGTATTGCTCCCTTTACAGCACAGTGAAGGCGAGGAAGCCGTGCAGTGCGTGGAGCACGGAGGCACAAGGACTTACGTTCAGTCTCTGGGATGGAGCTGGTGATGGAGGAGCTGGTGGAAGTGATTGTGCTCATGGATGGACTCATACCGTACGCTGGGTAGGTGCCAGTCATCGCTGCCGTGTGAGACACCCAGGCTGCCGGGTCAATGGGCCGGATGGGCTCACCTGCATTGAAGAAAGAAGGCAGTCAGTAGTTATAAGAAATTATGCCCTCATCAAATCAACCCCTGGGGAGGGACAGGGACTCAGCACAGCCCATTCCGTCCCCAGCATCTGCCGGGACTCACCCGGATCGGAGCATGGAGAGTCTGGCCCAGCCCAGATCCGCTGGGGAGCAACTGGGAGAGAAAGAAGAGAGGGAGGGTCAGCAGGAGAGGTGCAGAGGGAGAGATCCCCCTATGGCTCAAGGAGGGGTTTCTCTTTCCTCTGGCGCCCCGAGCAAGTGACCCCCCTGCCCCAGTGAAACGCGTCCCCAGCGTGATGTGGGAAGGAGGGCTGGGCTTATGGGCATTTTGGCCTGGGAATAGGACATAGCAGCCTCCTAACAGGAGAGCTGAAACCCCATCAAACCCCAATTCAGTGCCACATGGAGTCACACACACAGGGGAGGAACAAGACAACAACCAAGTAAGTGCTTAAGGCAGGGCTCTCACATGAGCTGGGCACCAGCGTTAAGGGTGGGTCAGCTATCCACTTACTCCTGGGTAACGAGAAGCAGCCCCGGGGGCTAGGGTCCCAGCACTTCGCCACCGTCAGGGTGATGGGCCTGCAACAAAAAAGTGAGAGTTAGAACAAGAGCTCAGTGGCACAAACCCCTGCGTGATGGGCAGATGCTGTATGCTGGCTCTCTCCTGCGAGACAGGGAGAAGCTGCCAGTAAAGTGCCCTTGTGTCCCTCCAGCTATGGATTTCCTTAGAGGCACAGACAAAATGACGTGACCCTGCTGAGGGCTGCTGCTGATCCTAATGACACAGCATCCCCACAAAAAAGGGGCACAGACCCGAATTCACAACCATCCTGTTGGCTGCAATTCTTCCTTTGGGCATGAAAACCCAGGAATCAAAGCGACACCAAAATTGTAAGTTCTGAGCTTCTGCAGAGCCACTAGCAGAGATGGCTGGAAGACACGACTCACACACTCCAAGCACACACCATACAGCTGCCCATGGAGGTAAGGAACAACCTGAGTACTTACCCCGGCTTGTGCACAATCTCCCTCAGCACCCGCACAGCATCATCATTGCTCATGTTCTCAAAGTTGATGTCATTTACCTGCAAACAACACAAAGATGTGAGTCTCAGAGATGTGACCAGAGGCTGAGCTCCCCACTCAGCAGTGACTCAGCTACCCTCTTCCAAGCACAGTTTCCTGGGTTGAGCCTGCCAAAGTATACAGGGAGGCTTCTGGGTCTTTTCTTACTGCTTTCTCAGGCCCAAAGATGGAGGTATGTGGGTGTGAAGTACCTGCAAGAGCATGTCTCCTGGTTCAATCCTGCCATCAGCGGCCACAGCACCACCCTTCATGATAGAGCCAATGTAAATGCCTCCATCTCCACGCTCATTGCTCTGTCCCACAATAGAAATGCCTAAGAAGTTGTATTTCTCTGCAGGGATGGAAAGAGAAAGAAGTAAGACACCATAAAGCAGCAGGCACAAGCAGCCCTAACCTCAGACAAACCACGTGCTAATGATGGTCGCTTGCACCCCTGTCCCAGAGAGATATCCTGGGACACACAGAAAGTCTTAAGAGACCAGTGCTTCAAGACAAGCTGCTTTCCTACAGAATCAATCTCCTCACTCCTCCCCACATGTGTTCTCTTTGCCCGCCTCTCCAGTTCCCTCTCTGCCTCCCAATCTCACTCTGGAAGAACTGCAAGCTCCGTGCACACCTCCCACTCACCCATGTTCAGCGTGACCGTGATGATGTTCAGGGACATGGTGGAGTCTGTGATGCTGCTGAAGGACGATGACTGCAACATAAGTGAAACATGAGATGTCCTCCTGTACCTCAGTAACATTCCCAGCCCCAGCTTCCTGCCACTCCCTGTGGCACCACAGCCACCACCTACAACTCCAGCCTTATGCTGAGAGCTTTGCAGAGCCAGAGGGCATCAGCCACAGTCCTTATGACCTCTCTACAGCCAGAGCAAGGTCTACGGTCCCAGCTCTTGAGGCTACGTTGGCTTAGGAAAGGTTTACAGCAGTTTATGAAGTCTCAGCACTTGGACACCACCTGTCCCCAGCTGTGCCCACAGCAAACACAGCCAAATCCCCCCCAGTCAGCCCTGGAGCACTGAGTGGAGAGATCCACCAGGCACCCCACCTTGCCCTGCATTGCCCTCCCCTCGATACCCAGCCTCTGCGTACCCGCTCAATGCGTGGAGCCTTCTGTTTCCGCCGGCGTCGCTTGTGCCTCCTCATTAGACGGGAAGCACTGCTTTGCTCTGTCGAACTGCTAAACCTAGAGGCAAAAAGCAAGAATCAGCTCTTCTTCTGCCAGGGTGGTGGCTCTTGCAGCAAGAGAGCCACAGATATGGCACAGGGAATAGAGGGGGCCAGAACATGTACATGGGGGACAGACAACAGAGACGGGGGGCTGCTGGGTGAGACTTGAGACAGAGGCAGGTCTGAGCAAGGATGCTAGAGCCCAGAATTACTGTGCCCTGCAAAGGTATCTCTCTGTGCTGGGAGGGAGGGGGAAGCCAGTGTTCTTCCAGGACCTAAGCTTTCCTACCTGCTGGTGGAGTCGTCTTCATCTGAATCGAAGAAGCTGGTGGTCTCCAGCTCACTGCTCATGAGTGTCGAGGAGCTCTCGTACCCACCCAGGTCTCGGCGTCGCTCTCCCTTCACTGTACCATTCACCCTGGGTGCTAAGGAAAGACAAGGCTCAGTATGCTTCAGACAGCCCACAGGTATACACCTCTTTCCCCCCTGCAGGGCTCACAACAACCTTCTCTGAATGAACCTGGCCATCAGACAATCCCATCTAGTGCCAGCCAGCTCTGAGTCCACCCCAGGATCAGATCCATCTTCTGTGGGATACCCTCTTCTACCCCACTAGAGGATGGGCAAGAGGCTGATGGGCTACTCGGAACAATGCTGCTAAAGGAGCAGACCAAGGAGCAGCACAGAGTGCCAAGGCTACAGCACACTCTGCTTTTCAACTAAGGAGGACTGAGGCACTGCTGCCTCTCTCTCCTGCTCTTGAGGCTTCGACAGTAGACATCTCCTTCGCCCCTAAAGGTTTTGTCACCAAGCTCTGATCCAACACAGGGGTTAGCTCCTGCCTCCAACGTGAGGTTATGGCCTCAGACCACTGAACAGCCCTTCTGAGCTGGAATGTTCTGCAGAGCAGACAGAGCTGCCCCACACCTGGAGCTGGTGCCCCCACTATACCCCAGCCATGCGCTGCAGAGCTCTTGCCACATTACCAACACTCACCATGCTCAGGCCCATCTTTCCGACGAGGTCTTTCCCTTTGCGATGACACCACTGAGTCTGTCTCTGTCTCATTGTCCAAGTTTTCCCGACTCCCACCAGTGTTAGGGCTGTGATGAGATAAAAGGAACAAATATGTCCAACAGGGAATGACTTAAGCAGGCTCTCTCTACCTCTGTGCTGGCCAGCACAAGCCTCCCGCCATCAGCTGTCTCCTTCTTGAGGGACAGGAGCACAGGCAGTGGGGAACAATCATAGGACATCTATGAGTGCAGGGCAAAGGACTGGGGGAAGCTGTGCTAGCTCTTTGCCAACTTCCCTGCACTATTTTCAGCATGCTCTTGCTTGCTGAATAATGCAGCTCCACTTTGAATCTGCTCCCAGCCCCATCCTCCTCCCCTCTGGCTGGCTGTGATCCCTGCCAATTTGGGTAGGAGTGTCCCAGTCCCTGATCTGGATTTACAGCAAAACCACTGTGGGTCCCTCAGAAACCAGGATAGGTGTCCAGGTAACTTACTGGAAAGAGGGGGGCCTGGAGTCTCCAATTCCTCCTGTGCGCTCCATGGAGGGTGGCAGCTCTGTTTGGTTATCGGCACAGACTGAGCCAGCATCTGAATGGGAACCCTCTGCAGACACCAGCTGGAGGGTCAAGAGACAGAGAACGAAACGGCTGAAGCACTGGGAAAACATTTACAAGAGTGGCCAAACGAGCTGGCCAAAAGCCTGCCTGGCCCAGGATCTCATCTCTGACGGTGGACAACAGCAGATGCCCAGGAGGCAGGTATGGAACAGGCCAAGCATGTAGCAACATTCCTCCTCAACACTTTCCCAGACGCCGGCTATTTGTGGCTCAGGAATTCCTGACCTGGCAGTGAAGTCAGAATGGCTGACAGCCCTGCTTGGAGACTCTGACATCATCTACACACCCACGCCACACAATTTTTACACTCAGGTAACCTTTAGCACATGTCCTGTAGCAAGGAGCGGATTCCCCTAGTTCTTCTTACATCGGAAGA